ATCTAGATCTGGTGGTGCTAGATCTGGTGGCGCCGGTTGGAAAGAGAACTGAGAATAAGAAGAAAGAAGATGAAAACGGTGCCAGCTAGAGAGAGAGAGAGAGAGAGAGAGATCACCGCCAAATAGAGAGATGACTAGTTCTAGTGGAGTCGGCCGTCAGTGACTGAGTTCGCAAGTGCAGTTGGGTTCACCGGTTCTGAGAGTTGAGAGGAGAAATGAGAGCCGCCGCTTTTGAGAGTGAGAGTGAGAAAGGAGAATGAAAAGAAAAATTTTAAATATTTAGGGTTAGGGTTAGGTAGTTTAGGAAAAGTCGGGCCGGGCCGGGCTCGGGCCGGGCTTTTTTAACAAATTCCGAGCCTGGCCTGTAAAATAGTTGGGCTTGGGCTTTTAGGCCCGAGGTCAAGCCCGCGGGCTAAAACACATGCCCAAGCCCGTCCGGGGGCCGGGCCGGCCCGTCGGGCCACCCGGCCCATGAACAGGTCTATGTGTGATTAGCATTGCTTTGCTTGTACCCTACAGTCTTCATTTCCTTGCACAATTTCTCAAACCAGGTCCTTTGAGATTGTTTAAGCCCATACAAGGTCCTCTTCGGTTTACACACTTTCCTTTCATGTCATACCTCGGGGGGATCCATGTATGCTTTCTCCTTCCATTCAAAAAAGTATTCTCAACATCTAACTGATGCAACTCCCAAGAAAAATTTGTTGCTAAGGAGAGTAATACCCGTATAGTATTTAGTTTAGCCACTAGAGCAAATGTCTCTTTGTATTCCACACCTTCCTTCTAAGTGAATCCCTTTGCAACCAATCTAGCTTTGTATCTCTTAATAGAGCCATCGGCCTTGTGTCTTATGGTATACACCCACTTGCTTCCCATAGTGCTTTTTCCATATGGTAGATCTACTAGTTCCCAAGTATTTACCTCTAATAATTCTCTCATTTCCTCATTCATAGCTTCCCTCCATTGTGGACCAATAACAACTTCTAAGTACCTGGAAGGAGTAAATACAAAGGACAAGGTAGAAATAAAAGTATGATAGGCAGGGGACAAGTGGGAATATAACACAAATTTATTTATAGGATGAAGAGTACAAGAACGGACAGGTTTGTGCAAGGCAATAGGGAGATCTGAATTAGAACTAGTGGAGGTAATAGGATTAACAATACCTTGGCTGGGTTTAGAAGCTCCTAATTGGTTGCAGTCATCATCCGCCATGTTTCTCTTTCTTTTCCTATGATAAACATTTGACACTGTTGCTTCAGTGCTAGGTGCATCATCAACAGGAGTCCCATCTACGGAAGTAGAATATGAAGAAGTAGGGCCACAGGGAGCAGTTGGAAGAGAGGGATTAGGAGCAGAAACAAAAAAGATTAACCTCCAAGGAAATCTCTTTCACCCCATTAGTCTCCCCTAAAGAAAATTACGTGGGGAACTAAAAAAGGACTGTGTTATGTGCCTTAGGAGAACTCACCCCTAAAATCTAGCTGTTAGAGGGAAGGAACCCAAGCACATATATACCCCACAACAACATCCCATACTACCGATGTGGGATACCTAACATTAGCATCCCATACTACCAATATGGGACAAATGGATCGTAACACCGTGACTCACAAGATGTGACATCTTTAGTAATGAACTTTTTTCTAGTAGTGGGATTAAGACACTTGTGCCCCTTTTGAGTAGGAGAGTATCCCAAAAATACTCCATGAATTGCATTGGGATCCAACTTTGTCCTTTTAGAATCCAGGACACATATAAAACATACACAAGCAAAGACTTTTGGAGGTAAGGGAAAGATAGGTTGATCTGGACAAAGAGTAGAGAAGGGGGTTTTCATACCCGATACCTTGGATGGCAACCTATTAATCAAATAAGAGGCTGTAAGCACTACATGAGACAAAAACTTCTTGGGAACTTTACTGTGGAACAATAAGGCATGAGTAGTTTCCATTAAATGTCTATTCTTCCTTTCCGCCACTCCATTTTATTGTGGAGTTTAATCAAATAAGAGGCTGTAAGCACTACATGAGACAAAAACTTCTTGGGAACTTTACTGTGGAACAATAAGGCATGAGTAGTTTCCATTAAATGTCTATTCTTCCTTTCCGCCACTCCATTTTATTGTGGAGTTTAAGTGCAAGAAGATTGGTGCAAGGTCCCTTCATCTTCAAAGAACAAATTCAGAGATCTTTTGAAGTATTGAGCCGCATTGTTTGAACGGAATTGTTTGATTTTCTTTCCAAATTGGGTTTCAATCATCTTGCATAACACCATAGTGGTTCTAGGTACTTCCTGCCGTTCTTTCATCAAATAAATTTAATGCACCTTATAAAATGATCAATAAAACTGATAAAGTATCGATGGCCATCCATAGAGGTAATAGGTGAAGGATCCCACACATCATAATGAAATAAATCAAAAGGAGCTTTTACTTCATTACTAGATCTTGGATAGTTAGTTTTACAATGCTTGGACAACTAACAAACATCATATAAAAGGCTTTTATCTGACACTTATTCAAACAACTTTTGAAACAAAATGCTCAACAAAGGAAAAGACAAATGACCCAATCTAGCATGCTAAAGATAGATTGTAGTATGCTACTCCTCGTAGGTACTGCGCTGACTAGCTGAAGCCTTAAGGGTTGAACTGATATCTTCATTAAGGTAATAGACCACCGGCCTCATGACCACTCTCAATTTTGCTTCGTCATACAGTCCTCGAAAACACAATGAGAAGGAAAGAAAGTTACAATACAATCCAAGATTTTGGTTATTCTAGAGACTAAAAGTAAATTGGTAGTAAAGTTAGGAACATGTAAGGCAGATTTGAGAGAAATCCTTTCTGAGTTCTATGTCACCCTTCCCATGGATATTTGAGAGGGAGCCATCAACAACTCTCACTTAGTCTCTCCTAGACACAAGCTGATATGATGAAAATACAAGGGATTGTTGGTCATGTATTCAAAAGCACCTGAGTCAATAACCCATGGAGACAAAGAGCAAGGCTGAACAACATTAAGATTAGAAACAATACCTGTATTTGTAAAGGATGAGGAAGCAATAGAGGATTGCTTCAATTGAGCCATGGCTTGATTGAGAATATCTATCTCTTCTGCAATGAACCCAGGAAAGAAATTTGAGGGAGTAGTGGTCTGTCCCATATAAGGTGAAGCACTAGTTGTTGCAGTCTTATGTACTCCATCAGCCATATTTGAACTTGATACATGTCCCTGATGCCCTAAGCTCTTATTAGGCTTCTTCTCTTTCCTAAGGGCTGCTGGCTTCAGATGAGGATGTAGGATCCAGCATGTATCCTTAGTGTGTTTCTCTCCTCCAGACTATGTACACTTCAAACTCATTCCCCCACCATTTGTGTAGCTGAAACTAAAGCTGAATGTTCAATTTGTTGTGAGGGAATATTAACCTTCATCTCTTTCCTTCTACTCTCTTCATTTCTAATCAGGTAAAACACGTGCTGCAGGTATGGAAGTTCATCCCTTCCCAAAATCTGAGATCTTATCCCATTATATGAAGTCTAGGCTAGAAAGAAACTTGAACACCCTTCCTTCTTCAATCTATTTTTGATACATCTCCTTGTCTATGATTAGATGATGATTGAGCTCTTCCCACAACCCCTCGAGAGTGGCAAAAAAGGGAGAAACTGGCATACTTCCTTGAGTCAAAGCTGCAATATCGTAAGCAGTCGATACACCCTAGCATTGCTCTTCCTTTGTCCATATGTATTTGACAGCTTTTCCCAAATCTTTTGGACAGTAGGATAATGCTGAATTATCCTAGCTATCTTAGGTGTCATAGAGGACAGCAGCCATGACATAACTGTAGCATTTTCCCTAAACGATTTTTCATATCCTTGTGCCTTCATCTTCGGTTCTTTAACCTGGCCATTGATATATCCTAGCATTCCACAACTAGTAATATGTAGATAAAATATACCATTCTTTGAAATTATACTCATCCAACTTCACACTTGTGATCTGAAGACTAGGAAAACTAGGGTTTTCCTTGTTGAAGAAACCCTCACCCGGCCTGTTTTCTTTGGATGACACTTCGCTTGAATCTCAAGACATATCAATTTACTGGAGTTCAGCAATACTTCACAGAAAGCAAGGAAGAGTCTACCCCTTCGATCCAAGTATTTGCAGAATATTTAGCCTATAATAGGATTTAAAGAGACATTTGAATAGCAACTTTCTCTGACTTAATCCAAAAAAAACTGTGGACTTCAGTGCCCTTCACCTGTTGATCTCCAGAAAACTTCTTGAGCTTCTGGGTTTAACAGTCCAGCATCTAGACCTGGACTAAACAGGTCTCTCTAGTAGTCGTTTTGACTACTGACTATTCCCTTCAGCTTGCACACTAATAGGCCATATACAACCAGCCTAGGTCTCCTTGGTATACAATACCAAGGCAGAACCCTAGAGAACAAAGTTAAGTTACGATAAGAACTAGGGTTTCAGGAAGGAATGAACAGAAGATAAAAATAAAGGAGGAAGAAAGGAAGATAAACAGCAGGTTCTAGGACAGATTTAATGCTCTGATACCATGAAGGTATTCAGCCCAGGAATGTTATTTATAAGAGTTTAAATATTACATAGAGTGACAAAACTGCCCCTGCTTAGGTGGCAGTAAGCGAAGATAACAAATACATAATAAGCCCATATACTTAACAAAAGGAAAAACATAACAGAGAACTAAGGCCCAAGCCCACTTCTTTATGTCTCACAACAATGTTGAAACCACCTTGCAGAGAGAGGAGGAAGAAAGAAGACAGAAGGGTGATCCAGGGGGAAGATAAACCAGTTGAAGAGAAGAAAGCTCAGAATCAGGAGGAGATTTTGGAAGAAGATAGCTCTGAAGAGGAGAAGGAAGAGGAAGGAGAAATGTTGGACAGAGTTAGAGAGGTTGAACAGAAAGTAGAATTTAATAAGATAGTGGAAACTGGAGTTCAGGCGAACAAGGCGTTAGCACTTTTGGTGTTAGAATGGGAAGAAATGACAAGGAAGCTGTTCTGTGAACTGGAGAAGAGATTTCCATTGAATAAAGAAAAGTCTGAAAAGGACCTTTGAGGGGCTTCTTTCCACAAGGATTGTTTTGGGTTGGTTTTTTCTGAAAAGGGTTGTTGGGTATTGTCTGGGTTCGGGGAGTTGATTTGTTCTTCTGGTTCTATGTTCTGTTTTTGTTATTAGAAAAAAAGGCTAAAGTGTTGCTTCTTATTGGGTTTTGGGTGTTAAATCTGGGGGGTGATATCTTGTCATCTGTTCTGTTTCTTTTCTTCTTTTCTTTTAATTAAAAAGTTCTCTTTTTTATTTATTACCAAAAAAATATTATCTTATTATGATGTCCAGATGTAGGCTTACCAAGTTACAGGTTTAAAAGTATAGCTGTCAATTATAAACAGGTTTTGTTGTGTCAGATCCAATAGCCCCGATTAATAATTGGGCCAGTTTTGGGTATGTTATTATAGACCAATGTTATAAGAACTGGACCTTGAGACTCGGGAACCAGAAGACAATCCAGTTTTTAAATCTTGATTTTTAGTTTCTTCCCTAACTGTCTGACCTGCTATTAAGCTGGGCAAACCATTGAAAACCAGCCAAGTTTTAGACTTTTAGTGACTAAGCAGGTTTTCAACAACTCACACGTCATTACTTCATCATGTACTTGTAAATATAATGAGGGAAATTGAACTCACAGCCTCCTATTGAACTCACACATAAAAAAGCAGTCAAGAAATTATCATTTTAACATTTAGAAAATTGTCACTAATTCAATTTTGGCACTTTCTTTTAATAGTTGGGGCTTTACAGACGTTGAAGAATGCTTTGGGACTTCCTCTTCGTTTTGGGTGGAATGGTGATCCATGTGTTCCCCAGCAACATCCATGGAGTGGAGTAGATTGCCTATATGATAAGAAAAACCTCAAATGGGTCATAGATGGACTGTAAGTTCTTAATCTTCAGCTTCTTTGGTACCTTATAGATTTACCTAGTTAAAAAATTATGAAAAAGCATAGTTTTGAAGCTTTATTTCTTATTTTACTTCTTGTGATAAATAATGGATCAACAGAAACTTTATTACATAATGAAGAAAGCATACTTATCTAGAATCAGTTAGAAAAGTTCAGACGTAAAACCCACTGTTTTGCTTTTTCTTTCCCCCTTTTTCCTTGTTCGTTTACTGAGCTATTCTGTTTTATTCCTACAGCATTTTATTTCAAAATTAGAGGGAGTTTTAGCTCTTTATTTATAGAACATAAATTTAGATATCCACAGTGTTGATGATTTACAATGTAAAGAAAGTGACAAATTTTATCCTTGTTAAGAATGGACAGAGATGTAGGAATTCCCAGTTGTGTTGTTGACCTTGTTTCGATTGGTTTGCCATATTTTCCATTTACTGTTTTTAAGATCACTAATAATTTATTTATTAAATAGCCAAGTGTAGAAGAGGAGTACAAGTATTGCTACCTAAGGTAGGAAGATGACACAAGGAGGCCCCAAAAACAGCCACCATTTTGTATACCATTAAACAATGCCACATTGGAATAATAATTCCAATAAACAACTCAATCCTCCCAATACCACTCACCCCTATAGAAAAACGTTTTCCTTATGGTATGAAACTAGCATGTAATCCAACCTTTTACCAAAAGGCATAGCCAGGACAATCAAAACCAAGGACATGCTATAAACCCAGGACTACCAACCCCCAAAGCCTCAAGACCAGATAACACTGCTATCCTACCAAAAGGCCAAAAGGCTCACTAAACCCACCAGGAAGCATGAAAATCATGTGCCTACTTTTTTTCCTATTTTGTCCTCTAACACGATGCTGTTAAAAGGCATTTGATAAGAGAATATTAATTCTTTTGCTATATGAGTACTTCTATGTCTGCATAACCATGTTTTTTCTTCTGTATGTTTAGTACTCTTGACAATCAAGCTCTGAGGGGTTTCTTGTCGAATGACATATCCAAGCTGCATCATCTACAAAGCATGTATGTTCTTAGCACTAGTTATCTTTTACTTTATTTGGGGATTTCCAAACTGGAAGTTGCATCATTAATTATAACATAGATTTTAAATGCTAATGTATTATCCTGGTATTTTACTTTGTTGTGCAAGTATCCTAGGTAAAAAGGGGCAAATGTCCTATATAAGGTTTGGCAGTGTAGAGGCTGTCTCCTACTGATATTTTGGATGCATGCTGACATTTTATTCAGAGAACTCGTATTTTGCTCTATTTTAGAACATATTGGTTATAATCCCTTGTATAAACTTCAATCCAAATTGGTTTATCTGACCAATTTCTTTGTACATGAAATATTTTTAAAAAAATCTCATCAGACATAAACCATTACTTTACAGGTCTATCTGACAGCTTGCATGCCTATTTTGCACTAACACAATTATCCATGCCCACCATACATGAGAAGTTATATAAGAGCATGTCATAACATCCCCATGGGGGGTGTAACTTGATCCTATAAAGTTTTTCCTTTTTTGGCTGCCCCCTTTGCTTATTCTTCTCATTAAGAAGAGGTTGCCTAATGAGTTAATGTTCTTCAGAATAAGATTAAGATTTATCTCCTGATGTCATTATCTTATTTAATTTTTATCTAATGGTGTATTTCTCTAGAAATCTGAGTGGGAACAGCATTCATGGAACCATACCATCCTCACTTGGAACAATAACAGGGCTGGAAGTATTGTAAGTTCCATTCATATATTTACATGGTTTTGAGTACTGTATTGCTTATTTTGATTACAATAGTTTATTTATTTATTTATTTTTGTGAAATGACTTAATTGGTTTTTTAGATATACTATAGGCAGCAAGTTTATTTGGATCACTGCACTTGGTAGCAATAGCACAAAAATTGTTATGGCAGAATATTAGTTGGCTGCAATTGAAAGATTGCACCTTGCTGTCTAGATAGTAATAGGGACATGACCTTCAAAATTATAAAAACTTAGCTCTCTCAGCCATGGTTTCTATTTTCACAAAATATTGTTTGTTGTTATTTTATTAGGGTAAATTAAAGATATGCATACCCTAGCTGAGTTTTCTGACAAAAACAGATGCCCACCCTATGTTTCTAAGATTACAATTATCCTCCAGTTAGAAATCAGAAAGAAGTGCTGTTTAACTGCACTGATAGAAATACCTCCAACGTTTTGCACGTACTCTTTTTCTGGATAGTCTTTGTATACACACTGACATCCTACAAATAAGTCAGATTAAATGCACAATTATTAATGTGAAAACCTTAATTAGTCCTAGGTTACAGTAGAGAAGAAGGAGAAGAAGAAGAAGAAGAAGAAGAGGAGAAAAAGAAGAAGAAGAAGAGAAGAAGAAGAAGAAGGGTTCGGCCAGTAGAGGAAAATCAGTCCTCTCTCTAGTCGACCCACTTGTATTTATCTCCAATAACATAGTTACTTGAAAGACCATATTGTCCCTCATAAGTGATGGGACACATAACTTAAACAAAACAGACCTTTCACTCTCAAATAGATAAACCCAAATGACCAAAATACCCCTGTTTTGTGTACTATAACACTCCCCCTCAAGCTGGAGAGTATATGTCATATAGTCTCAGCTTGTCACAAATATAATCTACTCTGTCCCGAGACAATCCCTTTGTAAAGAGATCTGCCCACTGATTTCCTGAGCTCACATGAGATGTGGTTATCACTCCACTTACCACTTTCTCTCTCACAAAGTGACAATCGACCTCAATATGCTTGGTTCTCTCATGGAAGACTGGGTTGGAAGAGATGTGAACAACAGTTTGGTTATCACAGTATAGTCTCATGGGTTTGTCAACCGAGAACCCCATCTCTTGTAGCAAGTTCT